TTACAAAGAAATTGATTCAATATGAACCTGCTTCACCATTAATCTAGTTTTCCATAAAATTAACTCCAGTTATATTAACTTTAGTATATTTTTATCTGTATAACAGTTATTAGATGGTCAACACTTGAACTTACTAATATGTTCCCAAGAGTGCCTATGAATAGTAAGTGGTCATCAAATATTTGCTTCAAATAGTGAAATGTAACCTGTTTGGCTTTTCTGCTATCCTAATACTCCTGTGTAACCAATATCCCATATTAAATCTCATCCATTATATAGATCTTGGATCTTGCTTTCCTGATCAGACTAAGGCTACAGTACCCTAAGGCAAACAGGACATTTTGAATAGTTTGTGTGTGATCTTGATAAGTGCATTCAGAGTTTTCATTATCCCAGATAAGATAGTCATGATAAATTTATTATAAAATAGTATTTAAAATTTTTCATCTAAGATACTTAGGTTTTAACCATTCAATTGACCATGTTGGAAGATGTGCCATGTTTATTCTGTGTCTTTATTTACTCCTGGCACATTGCCACCTGTACCTAGGGTTGTTCAAATCTCAATTTGAAATGAGTAATTTCAAAGAACAACAAGTATAAGAGCATAGCAGTAAGCACACCAATTGAGGGATGTACCAGAACTTGAAATTAGCCAGGCCAAGATAGTTAGTAGCTTTTCAGAGGCACGTAATGACCTAAGAGCAGAGGAAGTACATAGTGGGTACTGATTTGTCACAGTGTTAGTACAGTAACATGTATTGGGTGTTTGCAATATATAAGGTTTGGAACCACCATGTTACAGTGCCAGAAGGAAACTGTCAGATCATAAGACATTTCTTCCCTCTTCTCTCCCTAGTACTTGACAGCAGCTAAAGGCATCTGGCTAATCTTAATAGGATGAGGACTATGAAATATAAGGAAAATGGTATGTGTGTCCTCTGAGAGATAGCCAGGAAAGTCATTCTTGCCTTACAAACTATATGGTGGAGGAGGGGGTGACTATGTTTCTCAGGGGCAGAGGCCATGGTGTTTTATTTATCTTTGCACATCTCACGGTGCCTAGAACAATGTTTGTACATAATAGAAGGGTTAAAATGTTTGTTAAACTGAGTCGATTAGAGAGCTTACTTTCTTCTGCCCCAGTGTGGAATCTTGAAAACTTTGGAATTCAAGCCCCCTCAGGACACATAGAGATTCTTCCCTGTCTAGCCTATTTAAAACAGGAATGAATGAAAATGCAGGACATCTGAAACATTTGATCAAAACATGGGGCACTATTATAGCAACCTGACTTAGTAACTTTGAGGAGGTGAAGTCTGAAGAAAGAATGAGGTACTATCTCTAAGGCCCCTACCCTCAGCCCATGCCCACAGGTCTTGCCCAGAGCCAGCTTTCAGTAGGATTTGTTTCTTTGCTTGGTAGGTTTGCCATGCAAATAGAAACAATCCCCTCCTCTACAGAGGAAGCATTTCGGGTCTGGCAGGTTGAAAAGCAAGAGTTAGAGTGAATAGTTCTGATCTCAGAACTGGGAAACATCTGTATTCTCTTGATCTTTACTTATTTTTTAGCTGGTACTTAAGCACTGAAGGGAAAAAAAATTCTTTCACATACCTGACTTGGTATTGGAAGCTGTTAAATAGCAGTTACAACTGGGAGGGTTGGAGGGAACTCTCCTCCCCCATTTTTTAAAGTTTGGCTGTAGGTCCTTCTGCCTGCAGGCTACAGTCACATTAGCAGTTGGAAATTGGATAACGACAGCACCATGACAAATCCAGGTTGCTTGCAATAAGTTGCTAATCCCTTTGCTTTAATATTGGAGCAGCGTATAATGATGTTTGGACATCACTCCAGTTTACTGACGACCCCACTGGGGCCAGCAATAGAACCTTACAACTGTCTAACAAGGCGTCAGGTGACTCCCGTCGTCACAGCAACGGACACTGGAATCTAATCTTCCCTCCATCCCTTCTAGCACCCAATAACGCCTAGATTATATAAGTGGCCCATCATTGCTTGGTAACTTGAATCAATTAACGTTAATTCGCACAATGCTATGATGTATTGTGATCACTTTCATTTCAGGGAAGGGGGAGAAATTGCTATAAGTCACCTAAAATGAGGTTGTCTGTGGTGCTGAGGTATTAATTGGGTGTCCATATTAAATGCAAAAGGAGCCCCATCGTGAAAGGAAAGTGGATGAGTGACTCTCTTGGCTGCTATTGACCTATCAGAAGAAGACAGTGCCCTTTTCCTTTGCTTTTATCTATTACAGTTTTCCCTATTGCGTGTCAAGTTGATGTATTATAAAAAATTCATTTGGTGACCTTTCACCCCCTTAGCAGATTAAACAATTTCACTTCGATGGCATCATTAACAGGACCCTGCATTTAATGATGATTTCTCTAAAAGGCCACGGAGATTCGATTTTAAGCTAACAGATTTATTGCACTATTATAACATATCGTAAAAAACTGTACCACCTACGGTCAGGTTTTAGGATAGAAACTGCTTAAGAGTTTATGTGGAGCTTAAAGTGGTATTACCTTGGGATATGCTGTAGCAGCAAGTCTCTGACCTCCAGTAAGATGCTGTTTACATTTAATAAGAGATGTTTGCTCACAATAAACTTTAAAGTGTGTCAGGGATAGGCCTTTCAGCAGGTGCTGAGACCGGTGGCTCCCATCTCTTCGTTTCCAGACATCACTGTACATGTGTCAGGATCTTTGGTGGGGTCTTCCAGCTTCTTTAACTGCATTGCTAGCCTGCACCCTATCCCACATGAGAAAGCATTTAAGAAATGGGTTAGGGGAGAGATAGGATCTTGTAACAATGTTAGAATTTTCCAATAACCTGGGCCCCATGGAAGGTTAGAATTAATAGCATGGATTTAAAAATCCAATTTAAATTGTTCCCCTTAAAAAAAAAAAAAAAAAAAGGATCCTTACCCACTCAGGCTAAGCAAAGTAATAAATGAGATTAGGCTGGTGTATGTTGAATTCCCAGTGAGTGATTCTAGCACAGAGGTCAGGGCCTTAACTGGTAGATGACCAAAGGGGACGCTTAGAACTACATGTTCCCACTCTGTCCCCATTTCCTAGGAATCTTGGGGGAAAGAGAAAGTGCTTCCTACAGAAACTTCATGGTTCGTGATCCACTCTATTTGCTCTTTCACTCTTTCCTCTTTTTGGGACTAATTGTCCCAAAAAGGGGCATACACCTGACATACACCTTCCATGTTAAATAAATATTTTATTTTTTTCTCTTTAGATAAGAGGGAAAAAAGGGTTAGGGAATAAAGTAGTTGACTTACAAGCATTCGGGGCAGGGTAGGCTACTCTTTTTT